TCTATGAGAAAACAAGAAAATGTGGTATTCTGATTTTTTAATCAGGTAATAGATTGATTATATATTTAATATTTTTTGTTTCTCCTGCTCTATAATTTTTTTATAACTTGACTACTGTAATTCTGCAACGGTACTGCATTTAAGATATTCTTGTGGCACATTTATCTTGACAAAAATCCAGTTTACTAAGGGAATTTATTCTGATGCCATTAACGAGCAAAATACAATCTAAACCACAGACTCAAAAGGAAAACAATACCATGTTTCAAGGCAAATGTAGTGGACACCATAACACCAAGGTGCAAATCTGTGTGGTATACAGAAAAGTATGGAAGGAAAGTAGCATTACTGCATCTCAGGGCTACTCAGAACGTTTTCCCTGTTTTTTTGGGGTTTTTTTTTTTGCTTGGCTGGTTGGTTGTTTTCAAGAAAATGGTTAAGATAGGAAAAACATTATTTAAATTAAACCAACAGAAGAAATCCTTACTTCACTAAGAGAATGTTAACTTTCGTATCCAAATAAAAACGTTAGATGTTTCCTTTACTTTAAGAATTAAGTGCTAAATTAACATAAAAAAATGAGTTGAATGATCAGATATTCACCTCTTTCCTGAAGTTTCAGGTCTTCTTTATGATTCTCAATACAAATAATTTTTAGTTTCTTAATTCCTTCAGTATTTGAGTCAGTATATTTTGTCAGGACAAAGTTCACTCCCAATACTAACTTTCTCACATAATTTTGTTTGTACTATCTTCACCAATGTCCAGCAGCAGTGGGACCCTTCAGAAACATGAAATTTAACCAGTTTCAGGATTGGTTCACACCTTTCTCTTTACATAATCCACTGTGAGTATTAACATCAATCAGAAGCACCTACCTTCAAAGGTGACTCAGTTTTGTCTGGTTTTTCATTCCTCAGATATGAAAAACACTAAATTCCTGCATGAACACAGCCTTAAGAACAACTTAAAAATCACTTCAATGAAAGTGAAGCCTCTAGGAGGGATGAGACCTTTTCTTAAACTGGTATGCCAAAATGTTTTTTCAAGCACATGATGCCATTTGCTAGGCTGAAAATGTTACACTTCCTTACTAATGGCTAAATATCACTTCGAGATGAATAAAGGACAATCTGGCTAATTTAAAAGAAAGAAGTTTGAAATAATTTCCATTGAATAGTATCTTTTAATGTGTATTGTGAGTCTCCATTTGAGTGTTTCTTTTTGTGGTAACAGTAATGAAAGCTTAAACCTAAACTCGGTGACAGTAAACCCAGACAGTAAAACTAAACCCAGACAGACACACTGACAAAAACACATCTTGAAGTTCAGCCTTCTAGTAAAGCACTAGAATAGTAAGCAAACCTCACAGGAATGATGCTCATTCTTCTCAACCACCTTCCACAACGTTTGGAAGAAAAGAGGATAACAGTCACTCTACCTTTTGGAGTTCTTTTACTTGCTAAGCTCCTCCTTGATTCACCAAATCCATACATATATACATACAGGCATAATCTATATAACTGGATATAATAGATACAATTAGATAAAACATGCTGTACATACTAAGTTCAGAATACCTGCACTCCAGCTGCACTTACATTCTCTCTAGCTGCATGAGTTGAGACAAAATTTCCAGTTGTTTTGACACGGAATTTTTCAGAAATTAAGTTTATGGCCATAAATCACCTCTGATTACTTTAATAGGGTCATTTTGAATGTGAAGATGCCTTTGTAAGTTCATAAATTTTCTTGATAATTTTGTGCCTGTGGCTTGTATATCGTAATTCTGACAATTCATGCAGATAGCATTATGTCATAAATTACCACATTTAGTTTGGCATGAATCTCAGGTACTCATGAACACTGCCTCCATTGTTTAAATATGTACTATATATGACACATGGGATTCAATATCCAAAATAAAGGAATACTTAGAAAAAAACCTAACACTTAGATGAAGAATGAGGATTGGATTTTTCCTAATGATTTGGGATGCAATTCTAATTGGAAGAAAAAAAAATCCATGATACCCTACACTTTGAAGCATTCTTGAAAGGCCAGTCTAAAAAAAATACATTCCCACATCAAGCATTGCATTACAATACCTTCTGCAAGATTTCTAATGACACAGAAGCATCTCACTTAATACCCAGCTTATCTAATGAGTGTGAAGAAAAAACAAGAGTAACTTTTACTTTAAAATTAGCCTAGATGGAGAACTCTCCCTGACAAAATCTATAATGCTTAAGATAAAATCTATATAATGTGAACTATTAGTATTTTGTTGAAAAGCCATTAGGCTCGATTATAAACCAGATGATACGAAAAATATTATGAACATACCCCACTGCTATTGAACATAATTAGTTCTCAGGCTTTTAAACTTGCACACACTTATATTTTTACATCTGAGTGGCTCCACTGAAATCAATCATATATATCAAATAAAATTAAACTAATTTATACAGATTATACACCAAATCAAATCACGTTAGATTAAACACCAAGTGCCCAGAAAATAAAAAACCTCCTCTAACAAAACTAGTCCATTTGATACAAAGTGACTGCATATTTTTTTTCACAGAATAGGCTGCAGCTTAATCATTTCAACCTTTAATTACTGCATCAGATAATGACTATTTTGAACATATGCTTCTCCGCTCTGCTAGAAGACATGAATGAAAGAGAAACAAGTTCATATGCATTCTACTGAGTGTGCACGTTGGGGGAGGGAGCAGCAGGCTAAAGAGCAAAGGGAACCAAGTGGCAACAATTGGAGGAAATGGTGTCTGTAACAGCTGCTCCTTTCAGATTCCCCTAGAAGGAGACTGCCTGAGGTGGACCACAGCACAAAAGGATAAAGAAGATGAAAACTGATGCAAAGCAGGGAAATAACTGCTGAGACCCCTGAGTCTACACCCGAATAGTCCCAAGCTGTGTGGCAAGACCTCTTTAGCATGCTACAGAAGCTGGTGATGAACTACATATTACCATGAGGCAAACTGGCTCCAAGCAGTATTGTCTGCATGTTATGTGTAATGATAACCAGTGCTCCTCTGGGAACAGGATGCAATGATTTCATCTCCGTAAGCATCTGAGCTCCCCTTGGAAACAGAGACCATTAAACTGAGAACAGAAGGGTAAATCTTAGGCAATGATTTCCAACTGGAGAGGGAAGACAACTTGTGCTCTACACTACTGTCAACCACTGACACTTTATTGCTGTCTGTGTTGATCATAGGACAACAAGAAATAAAACTGTATCCCTTTTTCTAAGTCCCAGTGTATTTTCTGAATGAAAGTACTTGATAGGTTTCTTATGTAATATTATTGGAAATGCCATCCTATTAGGAAATGCCACTATATTATTGACACAGAAAAGTATTGGTAGTTTCATTACTGTTAAAATAACATTTTACACTCTTAACATAATGTATCATTTGTTTTGTACTACAGAGACCTTCTTGCCCTTTTAACATAATTGCACATTGCTTTCCTTAACTGTCAGGGGAGTTTGTAGGACTAAAAACAATAGGTACAACCTATTATTTATATATTTTAAATTAATGGTAGTAAGCAGTATATTACAAAATTCAAGGTTTCAGAAGCTCCTTTAAAAAAAAATTCCGCATACAACAAAAAAAAATAGAACTTGCAAATGATTGCTGTAACTTTTTGACAGGAGACATGTGGGAGCAATGAAGAGAAAGGAGTAGCAATAAAATGCAGACACAATTGATCCTGAGGAAATAGTACCAGGACACCTAATATTTTTGACACTTTCAAGGGTAGTTTGATCCTTTGTATATCCAGGAGACTGTGCAGTCCTGTTCATTGATTAGTTTCTCCCGTGATGGAGAGATCAAGCATGTATGCAGGCTTCTCTATTTAGCACATTGGCTTATCTTCATAATTCAAACACTGTATTGCGACTCTCAGAAAATTAACAGAAAAGTTGTTCAGGCAAGAATGCCAACACACTTGTCAGTCAAAAAACAGTAGCAGATAAACTGCAGTACAAAAAATTCTAGTCTAGCCTATCATACTGTATTCCTGGGAGAGAAAAAATATCATATTCTCATTGGTGTTGCAACTATTGTATTGAAATGTATGCTGAACTAATTTGTGATTTCTAGTGGTCTATTTCTGAAAAAAAAATAAACCATCGTAACAAATACCCACAATGAATGATCTCTATAAATCATGCTCACTAATAGAACACTGAGTCACTCTGCAGTTAAAGGAACAAATAGAAATAATAATTATCCAGCTGATTAATTGCAATAATCAAGGACAAAATATTCAAACAAATTAAATATCCACAGAATATTTCTAAGAGGATCATGGAGGACTGTGAATTCTCTGATGGTTGGCACAAACAAATCAAGTTGCTGTTTATCTCTCCTCTCACACTGAATCTATGAGGAATTAGAGAAACCCTCCTTCCAGACAAGAATTCCACATGTAGAACTTTCATTGTCTTAGAATTGTTAAGGCTCAAGGGAAACAAGAGAACAGTAGTTTGAACTCAAGTATCAACAAAAGGTATTGCATCATCATTACAGCTTTTCATACCAAAAGCAATTCATACTTCTTCTAAATTCCTGATGTTCTGACAAACTCAACATGTGAATCAATGCATTTTTCATTCTTGCTCAGAAATATACTGTATCAAACTAATCTGCAAAAAAAAGATGTTTTTACAAAACCCTAACTAAATAAAAACTGATTTATATATGCATATATACAGGAAAAGGAAAGCTAGTCACATATAACCTGAATTGCCAATTTATATTATTTCTACAGATCCAAGTATGAAAACCTGGACTCCATCAGTTCTGGAATCTACTGGAATCAGAAGTGCTTAAGCCACGTGGATCCCTGCCTACAGAACTCGATATAAAAGGTCTGTGAGCCAAGTCTCTCCAAATGCCTAAGATGCCAAGGAGGCAGAGAAAGGCACTGAGAAAGCTAAAGCAACTTTAAAATAAACTTACTGATAATGCTGCCTGTTGTTCTCCAGAAAAATGATATGCCAAACTTAAGCAATATGCAGCTTCTCCTTCCATCTTCACATTACCTGCTAAAGAAAGGATTAAAGTTACAGTTACCAACATAAGCTGAACTAAATGATATGAGTGCAGACAGTTCTTGCAGGTTCTTATATACTATACAGATGTTAAAATACTGTAGTGAATTTTTCCTTCTCCTTACTCCTGCCATTTATCTCTATCCAAAAATATCCAGTGGTAATTAAAAAGAGACAAAGTTCAACAAGAAGGTTCAGCAAAGTCAGAGAAAATATCTTTCAGTAAAGAAGTAAAATCTAATTAACATGCTGAAATGTTCTCTGTCACTGAGTGTTCAATAATAGTCCTAGTGTCTTCACTTTAGAAAATCACTCAATATAAAAAGTAGCTACAGGTATGTAATACACCCTAATATATAAACACAAAATACATGTTGATCCACACACTTTGCTAACGTGAACCTTAGTGAAACACCATGAGAGAACCATCAGCAGACCAGTTTTATCTCTCTTCTTCTCATGGACATTTTACGAGCTAATATAGGCTAAAATAGCTAAAAATTAGGTAGGTTCTTCTTGCAAGTAGTAGTTCTAGAAAATTCTGCACAGGCAGTTGCTAACTGAGGTACATCACACTTTTCCATGCCAGGTTTTGTTTCGCTGATACTGATCTAACAAACTGCTTGCTGGTCTTTTTTAGCTATTTTAGCCTCAGTAGAAAAACATCAATTCAACACTGAAATAAATATACAAATTATAGAAGTTCTTACTATATCACACTATATTCAGAAATTTCCCTCCAGAACATAAGCATCCATTTAAAAAACTTGTAGATAAAATTACATTAAAAATAGCCAAAAATCTTTCTTTTGCTCAATATCAGTCTACTTCATTGAACACACTGAACAGTGAAAAATCAACCTGAAGCATAAATGCATATCAGGGTAGTTTGTAAAATGCATAAATTAATATAGTTGCAATGAAAAGGGAGATCACCTGTTACAATTGTCAGACTAATTCTTTCTGTCCAAACACATAGAAGCCTACATCTAGTTCTGGAACTCTCTGACTGATAGCAATTGCTGAGGCCATAGCAGTGCTCTATCTGCAGCACTTAATAAGTTACTTAAAATTATTAAAAGCCTGTAAATAAAAAACCTCATTTTTTCCCCCAATATTCAATATCCCTTAAAAGGCTTAATAAGGTCAAAGGGTACAAAAATGCAGTTTTGCAGAAGAATAATGTTCAAAGTTGCTAGGGATGTAAAAAACTTTCTTCCTCGTTCAGGAATAGTTTGAGAGTCTGAAGTGGGTAATATCTAATTCTAATTCACAAAATACATAACCACAGAAGGACAGAATGGACATTAGAGATGGCATCTCGTACCCAGTATGGCTCTGGAATGAGGACTGGAGAACTCCTCAGAAAGAAGTTCTAAAATTTAAAGAGAAAACCACTAACTATACTGTGCATAGTGATATTTTATACATGTCTTATGAACTATTGAAAATGCTTGAGTTAAAGTAATGGCACTGGAACATCTGCCTGGTCAAAGTAAGTTGTGGAAGACATCAGATCCATTTTGACAATCTTTTAATTTCCAGCAGTTTTCACCAGCAATAAGAAGTTGTTGATGGGAAATTTCACCAACAATTCTTATAGCTACTAGAGTAAATATTAGCAGCAGCAGTTTTACTCCAGCTGTGATTTAAGCATGTATTAGACACAACAGCTATAGAAAAAGCTGAAAGCTTGTACTTGATCAACAGATGTAGCTGAAAGAAATGGAGAAGTTGTTGGGTACGTGTTTCCTTCTTCAGCTGCTTGATTGTATTGGCATTCTCAGTATTTGGGTACATTCTCCCAAGAGAAAAGTTCTAAACAGGCAACTAACGGAACAGATCTACTAAAATGTACATAAACCAAAAATAGATTATTTAGTGATTTAACTAAAAGAAAAAAAACAGTCAAATACAATCATATAGTTCACAAATTAAACATTCAGTGTGGAAAGAATTGAATCCTTTCCCCCCAAGTCCTGTTCAGTTTATTTCCTCAAAATTACAACAGAAAAGCATTTAGATTTCAAATGGTGTTTTAAAATATTATCCTTTGTGAGATAAGGCAAGATAAGAAATTTTGGTTCTTTAGAGTTAGTGAAGTCAAAGACTATAGAATAAAATCCCCTGAAACAGAAATAATTTGCTAGCACTTTTAAAAATAATAAACAGCAAAATTCACACAGGATTAGATGCCCAAAAGCTTGTTCATTTTTTCCAGCTTGTTCCATTTTATCCAAGAGTATCTATAGGCCTAATAAAGGTATTTCTTTTTATTTCTTTGTTTCACTGAATACATTTTATACTTTTCTATGGAATGCTATGTTATACTATCTACCTTTATGGTCACATATTCATTTGTGGTAAAGCTTATTTTAAAATTTGGAAAATATTTTAAATTTTTTTGGTCCTATTTGATATTTTAATTCTATCTATCCCAACTATTACTCAAAGACTTGGAAACAGATTAATGTTGGGCATACATTATTAAATTAAAAAATGTATCTAATGTATCTGGTTATAAATATTGAATTAATATTATATATTAATTGTATGTGCAATTCATATGCAAAATATGCCCCTTAAGGAATACCATGAAAGGCTCTTGAATTGCTGTGCATGGAAAAAGGTTACTATTGGAAAACTGCTATCTTACTTCTGAGAAGCCCTCCAATAATCATATAGGAAAATCATCCAGAAAAAGTAATTCTGTAGAAGTGGACCATTAACAGTATCTTTCGAGAAACAAGCATTATTAAGCTTCCCCCCAAAAAATCAGGAAAAATATGTGTGTTTTCATAAAGTCAACTGGCAAGATTTACTTTCTTTTTTCCATTCCTCTCATATGTAAAAAATGCTCCGGAGCTCAGTATTTCTAGCTGATCAGCATCTCACAATACATGTAGCATACAAATGCTATTCTAATTCCCCCAGTCCTAAACCTATCCACACAAAATGGGCAAAGCTTCACAGAGCCATTACTTAGAACAAGACAGCGATCAGGAGTAGTCACCAAGGATTTCAAACAGGAAATTTGTGCTTCACCAACCTGATGGCTTTCTATGATAAGATGAAAGGCTTGATGGATGAAGGTAAAAGAGTGGATAATCTTGCCTCAATTTTAGCAAAGGCTTCTGACACCATCTCCCATAACATCTTTATATGGGTTCTGACAAAGGATCACTTAGATAGACAGGGAGGTAAACTGAAAGTAGAGGAGCTGCTGGCCTTTAACAGGGTGTAAGTAGCAGCATGAAGTCTAGTGGAAGGCCAGTCACTAGTGGAGTACTCAGGGATCAATACTGGTACCAATACTGACTAGTATCTCCATTAATGACCCAGATTGGGGCGACCAAGTGCGTCCTCAGCATGTTGCGGACAATACAAAACTGGGGAGGAAGGGTTGATCCAGAAGGCAGGTGGTTGTGCTGCCATTCAGAGGGACTTTGGCAGCCTTATGAAGTTCAGGAAAGGGAAATGCACAGTCCTGCACCTGGGGCAGGGCAACTCCAGGCACCAGCTCAGGCTGTGAGCTGACTGGGTGGAAAGGACCTCGGCAGAGAAGGACATCGGTTTCCCAGTGGACAGCAAGTCCACGAGGCAGAAATGCCCGTTCATGGCAGAACCGACCAACGGGATCCCAGGCTGCATCAGGCAGAGCATTTCAAGCAGGTTATGGAGGGGGTGATCCTTTGCCACTACTTCACATGGGTGTGCTGACCCCAGGAGTGCTGTGTCCCATTCTGGGCCCCCCAGCACAAGAGAGAGAGGGACATAGCAGAGTGAGTTCAGCAAAGGGCTGCAGAGATGACTGAGGGACTGGGAGCATCTCTCCTAGGAGGAGTGGCTGAGGGAACTGGAACTGTTGAGACCACAGGAGAGAAGGCTCGGGGTGATCTTATCAGTACCTCTTTGGCATAAGTAAAGCAGAGGAAACCAGGCTCTTCTCTGTGGTGCTCAGTGACAGGGCAAGAAGCAAAAGGCACAAAATGGAATTCTATCTGAACTCAACAAAACACTTTGTAATTGCGAGGGTGTTTGAACAGTGGAAAGTGTTTCCCAGAGTGGTTATGGAGGCTCCAGCTGTGGAAATACTAAAATCTTGACTTGATCTAGTCCTGGGCAGACTGCTCTAGCCAGCCTGATGATTTCCAGAGGTCTCTCTTCCTACCTCCGCTGTTCTCTGATTCTCTAGTTTGTTACTTCAGGTTTCAGAGTATTTATGTACATTAAGATATTCAGAAGAAGAAAACTGGTGTTTTGCAAGTACTAAATAACTATATAGAGAGAAAAGGTCATTTTCTGGCAGATAATATCACTCAAAAATTGCCAAATCAACAGTGACTAGCCAATCAAAATCAGTGACCTAAGCTTCCATCAGTGACCTCACTTTCTGATTATGGGTTCACAGTTTTACATTATTATTCCCACAAGATTGTCAGGTTTGTTTAGAGATAAAGCTTTGAGGAATCTAAAAGTTTCTTTGCTGTCAGCAGGAAGGCATTTCTGCCTTAGTGAGATCTGCAAGTGTATTGATAGCATTTGTCTTTGAATTTCACAGGAAATAATCACCCAAACACTTTACAATTTCTACTTTACTCTTGGGAACATCATGACATTCACAGAGAATAAAGGGATGGGAAAGCATTATTTTCCACCTACCTTCTTTTGCCATCTTTAAAGCTTTTATTAGTGTTGTGATGGCCTCTTGGTGTTCTTTATTTTCTAGCATTTTGTCTGCTAGTAATGTATAAATTCTCCAGAGATGCTCACATGCCAGTAAATTGTAAGTATGGCCTGTCTCATCCGTCCATGATGATCCCTCTGTTAGCTGATAAAATGCTTCATAATGCTCAGCAGCTTCCATGACATGACCTGAAAAACGTCATTCATAATTAAAATTAGTTCAATCAACAAAAAAATTTAAAAGTCAGTAGATTATAATAATGTTATGCAGCCAAACATTTCACAGATTTTTCAAGAATCTTCAATATGTAACTCACAGATCACTGGAAAAAATTGCCAAATCTCACAGTGGCCAGTAATGCTAAAATTACAGTTTATCACATTTTAAATGATCTTTCCTTTGTAGATTTACAATGTTAAAGGGGTGTGATCCCAAGGATGCAAAGTCAGGATTTTCTAGAAAGTAAATTTATTCTATATTCATGAATATAGCCTTTGTTGTTCTCGTATATTAAAATTACATCTATGCATAAATAATCACAATTGAAACCGTTCCTTAAGTTTCTTTTTCCATAATGAAAACCTATGCTGAAAGATTTGAAATGTGGAAGACAAAAGTACCAAAACTGTGGGGAAAAAAAATAATAATCTTTATTCAAATAAATTAATTGATGAAAAAAGAATTATTATGCAAAGTAATTTATTCAACAATTATTACCAGGCCAGCTCTGGTGAGTTTATCTAGTAGATTTACTGCAAGAGCATTAACCATTGATAAATTAATTATTGAGCCTGAAGTAATATACTTCAAGGTCTTCAATAAGTTACTCAAATATCTTTAAGGCAAAGAAAAGTTTGACGATAGAGTTCATTCATTTTAACATGCAAGTAGTTTTCCTTCTACCTTCATTTAGATTTATCTCTGTGCATACAGTTCAGTCGAGAAGCTTTCTGTGTTTTCTGGACAATGGACATTCAAAGAACAGAAAGAACATATTCTTCACACATAATGGGTACAGAAAAACTGCTGTGAAGCAGGTGAGACCATTTACATTGAAAATAATTAAAATCCCCCACATTCTGGTCACAGTACCTTGTTTAACAGAGAATATTCTACAGTAGGGAGAACTGGTGAATGTGACCCTGCCTTCATGAGTTTGTGTGTGTGTGATGGAGGAATCTTGTTCCATAGATCATTAATACTATCAAATGCTATTTCTATTAAAAGCTGAAACAAACCATAAACTAAGCTCATTTAGATGTGTTCGTGGCTTACACCTCTTCTGAAACATGCTTCATAAGGAACTATCACTGTTTTGCAGGGGTTTTTTTACAGTGCTGCATTCAAATTGCAAAAACAACCAGGGTGGAGAAAAGTTGTTTCCCAGTTGTAGGAAAGGAAGGGAGAAAAACATGGAGAATGATCTTCTTTAAGCATTCCTAGAGAAAATGAAGCTAGTTCCCCAGGCCTCTAGCTAACCTAAAGGCAGCAGAACAGCTATGACAGATTTCTCTTATTAACTCAATTTAGATTTGTCTTTTGCATATGTTACCCCTTTATAACCATGCTTTCAACTCTGCAATATAAAACATAACTCATCTTTATTAGAATTAAATTTATTTTCATATTAAGCTTCTCTGGTGATTAAAATGAGTTCAACTAAAACTGACAAGCAGAAGAAACTTCTCTTTCAACAAGGTAATGAATAAAACGAGTCTCACAGACAAATTATTTTAAGGCTGTACAACCTGTGATTCATATGAGAGTCCCAGAGGACACAACAAGTGCTGAAGAGTGAAGTGCCAGTTGAAAGGGGACCCAGCAGGCTTTATTCAGTTGTGCTCTAGCTAGGGACAGGTGGCCCAAACCACTGGGAAAACAGGAGAAGATCTATACATTCTTTCCAAAATATCACATACTTGACATCAGACTGAACAAATAGAAATGCAAAGGGAAATTATCACAACCAGGAGAAGTAGTTTAGGGACTCACTGACAGTACATGTAACAGGAAATAGAGATATGGACTTGCTAAAGCCAGATGAAAACTCCTGTCCATTCTTAAGAGGCTTCCAATTGAATTTGAGTTTCTGCCTATCCAGTCCAGCTAACTCCTTAAGGAACCATCAACTCGAAATTCCAGTTATCCAAGTCGGCAAATGCAGATTTAAGATACTGATTGAAGAAGCTGGTTTTGGCTTTGTGACAAATGACGGAAAGTTGAGTTGAAATTTAACATTAGTAGCTAGATCTAGCACATTGTTCACTTGTACAGTCACAAGCACATACACACCCCTACTTGAAATTCTTCCCAAAGTTCAATAATGAATTGATTGTTGTTTTGAAAGGGTATTTTCCTACATGTCAGTGATCTGGATCCACTACATGTGTATGGATTCTTTAGAATAATAGAATTTGATTCACGTGTTACTCAAAAACTCTTAGCATGAATGGGAGGCAGCAAACAAATGAGTGATATCACCTGGATGTCTAATCTGAAGCTGAACAAAGTATCTGAGTTTCTCCTAAAACTCTGTAATAGAATCTCTTAATGGGACACATCATTTAAGTAAATAATACCTGCAACCTTAAGAATTATTGTTTAGACTGTTAGAACTATTAGGTATGGTAGATCTTTTCCATGCTTTCTCGCTCGCAGTATCTCCTGAGAAAGTCCCTGTCAGACTGAAAAAAAAAAAAACCAACCAAAAAATCGAACTCACACATTCCATGTACTCCACAGTTCTCAAGAGTTGACCAAACCATAAGAGCTGTGACCTGACATTCTTTTTACCAGGTCTCAGTGAAACCTCTATGGAAACAATCCATCTACATCAAGCTTCAAAATACAAAAGCAATATAATCTTTTCGGTAATAGTCAAATGGACCTATAATACATTTGGTTTCACTGAATTACCATGATTATGAAGTAAAAAGTAAAACAATCTGCCTGCAGAAATACCAAAAACAAAATGCTGAGCCAAAAGCCAAAACACTTGCTAGTTCCCTAGACAAGGAAGAGATGGAATTACTGACCTGAAAGCCCTTATGTGGTTACAAATTTGCTTACTGAAGACTCTTTTTAATAAACTTCTCAAATTCATGGACAGTGAAACATTTTAGACTTTGGAATTCCATGAAAATAATCTGAAATCCCTTGTTGCCATTGGCAAATGAAATATCAACCTATTTCTTTAATCCGTATTATTTATGTGAAACTCAAATGTTGTGGGAAAACAATCTTTTCAGGGGGATGACATATTTATTCCCTGTCATGAGTCAGTTCAGCTGGAATTGATCTGGCCTGTGCAATCCACTTTTTAAACACTGAACTACTGCAACTGCTGGCATACATATGCAGACATATGTAGATGCTGCCTGAAAATCTTGAAAAACATTAAAAGAAAGTAATAAGCCAATTGCAGAACATTTCTGAGAGTAAGAGCATTTTTATCTCACTTGAACAGTGACAAGGCAGAGTTTTAAATTACTTTTATTATCAACTGAAAGAAAAAAACAAAGGAGAAAAAAAAGCAAAATGAGAGGAAAAACAATGGAGCAGGAAAAATCACTTGGAACACTTTGCAGAAATGCATTTTTTTTATCTCTAGTAATTCAAAGAGAAAATCCAGAAGGTGTTTCCAGGAAGTCTATATTTGAAAAATCTATTTGCAAAATGTTACATCAAGCAGTAAAGCTATTTAAAGTTGGCAACATTAATAGCAATTGCGTGTTTCTTCTCACAGTGCCATGCAGAATTTAGCTCAGTGGATACTAAATGGAATTTGAGAATCTCTGATATATCTCTTCCTTTCTTATAAAAGGAATCAAAAACCAGGAAGGTAACTCTTACAACATATGTACTACCACTACTAAAATTGTATAGTTTAATATAACTCAGGGCATAACAAAAGAAGCCCCATCAGCAATAGTTAATCTTAAATATGGGAGGTAAACATTGTCACAATATAATTTTGGGAGCAAAAAAATGGTTTTAAACAATTATATGAATATAAGACATTACTCAGCTCCAACAGTCTCAAATTTTAGAAATTCCTTGTATTTTCATAGAAACTACATATATGTATGCACAAAGATTTGTGCTACAGTTTTCACTGAGCTGCTTCGAAGTAAAAAAATAAATCTACTCATTCAAGCAAAATAATTCTATGTAATTTTGTAAATACTGAAGAGAAACGTTTTTATATTCTCTAAAACTTCCTTTATAATTCCCCTTCCTAAAACCCAATCCAAAAGCACACATTTGTTATATCAAAATAGATATCAAACCAAAAGGGGTATATATGGAGACTACTATTTTGCCTTTTTTTTTTTTTTTTTTAAGTAGAAAGATTGACTAGATATTAACACAAATGGGTTTAAATGTGAAGCTGCCATAAAAGCAGGCACATAAATGTAATTCTCGCAGCCGCTATTTTGATGCACATTTTTGATTCCATGAATATTTTATGAAATGGCCCAAACTAAAGCCATATAACATTCCTGCATTACTGATGCTTGCGCCCGTAAGCTACAAACATTAGAGGCATGATTGAGTGCATTAAAATGAACTCATTCAGCAGTGCATTGATTACTTGAAGGAGAAAAAAAAAAAGTTACTCCCACTTAAGAAAACAGCACACAAATCTGAAGTTTTCAATACTGAAATTAAAGATGCTAATTTGAATAATATGATATTTAATAAATAAAGGCAGTGCAAAACTATCTAGAATTCCCTACATACGGTCCTAACTTTAATTAGGTGAGATGTTAATTAGGCCCACAGATTGCTTCCAGTAGCGTACAGGTAATTTAAAATGTCACAATCTGCAAAATGCAGTGACTGACCTGCTCTAGCTCCATGCCTCAGCAATACTGAGAGCAGCTAATGATTTCCTTTGCTATCAGCTCATATATTTACCAATGAAAATACTGCTACAGAAACAATTGCCCAAGAGAAGTGACAGGCCTGTTAGGTACACTGCTTCAGCAGCACTACTATAAGCAGAAAGCACATTTAATTCTAAATTGGAAACAGTTGTTGAGGACTTCAGAAAATATTCCACTGTAGCTTAAAACAACAACCTAAAGGGACAATAAAGCTTTGAGCACGTTATAGTATGTTTTAATCTAAAACTAGAACATCTTTTGCTGTCGGTTATTTCACTGTACAACGTGAACATAAAATC